GGCTTGGTAGGTGTCTGTGGTGGTGGGACGAGGCTTGGTGGGTGTCGGAAAATCCGACACCATTTAATAATATCAATGCAATTGCAGATAATATTGCTGCATTGTATACACAAGTTACCCATAGAAAATGTAACTTGTAGTGGAATTTTCCGTCTATAGAAAATGGGATATCATTGCCACATACTATTATAAATTCACCAGCTATTCTGTTGGGAATTATTCTTAAATACATTAGTCTTTGGATTTTACCATCATAAAACATCTCATTTAAATTAACTTAATTATCAATATTAAAATAGAGTAAATGTGACCTTTCTGTCACTTACTGATATCTGGACAATGTAGGCCAGTAGTGAGAAAGGAGTGGTCAGCCATTGTTGCTTAAGACCAGAGGCGCAGTGGAGCAAAATTCGGCTCCTATCATTTCTCTTGGACGAAGTGTTATGGAAACCAAAGGTCTACCATCATCAACACGCTGTCAACAATAATCAAGGGAAGTGTTCTGCCGAAACCCATTTATCTAATCATTTTTGGCCATTAATGTCAGTAGATAGGGCGAACCGGTTAGAATGCGAACAGCCTCTTAAAAAAAGGTAATTAAGCCTTGGTCTTTATGATTCATTATACAGTGTTTTCTCTGATATAGCTGTCATATATTAGGATTCTAGCTTTTAGCTAGCACCCTTTTGACAGGTCAAGAAGAGGAAGCAAACTTTGTGTATCAGTTACTGGGTGATGGAAGCTGCCTCACACGAGGAAATTTGGTGTCTACATCCTAGTTATATCTGGTGGACTTAGCCTGCTGTGTAATAAGATAAGGAACCTCCTCAATGTATACTAATATATGTAGTTTAATACTGTAGTTTGATTGGCTGCATATATATAAATTCAATATAAACCCCCCCCTAATGTGTAGTGGATCGATTTGTGAGATTATTGCAGAAATATAGTCCACTTAACATCATACAAATTGCTATCGATATATATTTATATATATAAATTAACAAATATGACCGAAAAAGTAAGATTAATAATTCTAACACAAATTTTCTCGATCTTTCGTGCGTTTCTTTTCACTGTTGGTGGTAATTCAAAAATCAATTCTCCAAAATTCATTTTTTATTTCTAGTCTGACGCGACACTTGAGCGCGTTTCGTAAAACTTATTACATTTTCAAAGACTTTAGCTTACACATACACAACTGAATAGAACTTACACATCTTCGATTTGTTTATATCTACATTTGAGTGAGGTGGATGGGGTGAGGTGGTATTAATAGGGTATTAAATTCCTAAACACAAGACAGAACACGAAACAATGGGTTTTGAATGGAAGTGATTTGTAGAAAGCCTATTGGTCCATATTTCTTGATGTTTCTATATTGGAGCAGAGTCTTGAGGTGGGTAGAATATAGTTGTGCATTAATTGGCTGTTGATTGCTGGTGTTGACTTCTTGATGTGTAGAGCCTCGCAGACGTCAAGCCGCCTGCTATCACTGTATCTATCGATGATTTCTGTGTTGTTTACTAGGATTTCTCTGGCGATGGTTTGGTTGTGGGAAGAGATTATATGTTCCTTAATGGAGCCCTGTTGCTTATGCATCGTTAAACGCCTAGAAAGAGATGTTGTTGTCTTGCCTATATACTGTTTTTTTTGGAGCTTACAGTCCCCAAGAGGGCATTTGAAGGCATAGACGACGTTGGTCTCTTTTAAAGCGTTCTGCTTTGTGTCTGGAGAGTTTCTCATGAGTAGGCTGGCCGTTTTTCTGGTTTTATAGTAAATCGTCAGTTGTATCCTCTGATTTTTGTCTGTAGGGATAACGTTTCTATTAACAATATCTTTCAGGACCCTTTCCTCCGTTTTATGAGCTGTGGAAAAGAAGTTCCTGTAAAATAGTCTAATAGGGGGTATAGGTGTTGTGTTAGTTGTCTCTTCAGAGGTTGCATGGCGTTTCACTTTCCTTCTTATGATGTCTTCGACGAAACCATTGGAGAAGCCGTTGTTGACTAGGACCTGCCTTACCCTACAGAGTTCTTCGTCGACTTGCTTCCATTCTGAGCTGTGGCTGAGAGCACGGTCGACATAAGCGTTAACAACACTCCTCTTGTACCTGTCTGGGCAGTCGCTGTTGGCATTTTGGCACATTCCTATGTTCGTTTCCTTAGTGTAGACTGCAGTGCGGAAACCTCCGCTCTTTTCCATGACTGTTACATCTAGAAAGGGCAGCTTCCCATCCTTTTCCATCTCGTAAGTGAAACGCAGCACGGAACTCTGCTCAAATGCCTCCTTCAGCTCCTGCAGATGTCTGACATCAGGTACCTGTGTAAAAATGGCGTCAACATACCTGCAGTATATGGCCGGTTTCAAGTTCATTTCGACTAAGACTTTTTGCTCGATGGTACCCATGTAGAAGTTTGCAAACAGGACTCCTAGGGGAGAACCCATGGCGACCCCATCTACTTGCTTATACATGTGCCCATCCGGGCTCAAGAAGGGTGCCTCTTTAGTACAAGCTTGGAGTAGTTTCCTCAGAATGTTTTCTGGTATGTCAAGAGGAGTGCAGGCCGGATCACGATACACTCTGTTGGCTATCATCCCGATTGTCTCGTCCACAGGTACGTTGGTAAACTGTGATTCTACGTCCAACGAGGCTCTTATCCCTGTGGCCCGTGTGCCCCGCAGTAAGTCAACAAATTCCTTTGGAGACTTCAGGCTGAAGGCGCAAGGGACATAAGGAGTCAGCAGGCCATTGAGTCGCTTCGCCAGTCTGTACGTGGGTGTGGGTATCTGGCTGATGATTGGCCGAAGTGGGTTTCCAGGCTTGTGTGTCTTGACATTTCCATACGCATATCCAGGTTTATATTCCCCATTAATCTTTGGCAGGTGGAGTCCGGATTTCTTGGCATTCACAGTTTCAATCAGTTTGTTGACCTTTGCTTTCAATTCGGCTGTAGTGTCCTTCGCCAATATACGTCATTCTTAAAAAAGACGAATATCTGGCGAAAATGAACCTCATACTCTCTGACCAAACTAAATTCCAAAGGGTAACGAAGGACACTACAGCCGAAGGACTGTAAGCCTCAAAAAACTCAGTATATAGGCAAGACAACAACATCTCTTTCCAGGCGTTTAACGATGCATAAGCAACAGGGCTCCATTAAGGAACATATAATCTCTTCCCACAACCAAACCATCACCAGAGAAATCTTAGCAAACAACACAGAAATCATCGATAGATACAGCGATAGCAGGCGGCTTGACGTCTGCGAGGCTCTACACATCAAGAAGTCAACACCAGCAATCAACAGCCAATTAATGCACAACTATATTCTACCCACCTCAAGACTCCGCTCCAATATAGAAACATCAAGAAATATGGACCAATAGGCTTTCTACAAATCACTTCCATTCAAAACCCATTGTTTCGTGTTCTGTCTTGTGTTTAGGAATTTAATACCCTATTAATACCACCTCACTCAAATGTAGATATAAACAAATCGAAGATGTGTAAGTTCTATTCAGTTGTGTATGTGTAAGTTAATGTCTTTGAAAATGTAATAAGTTTTACGAAACGCGCTCAAGTGTCGCATCAGACTAGAAATAAAAAATGAATTTTGGAGAATTGATTTTTGAATTACCACCAACAGTGAAAAGAAACGCACGAAAGATCGAGAAAATTCGTGTTAGAATTATTAATCTTACTTTTTCGGTCATATTTAATAATATATGTCTACAGGAAAGACTGCTACCAAAATATACTAATATAAATTAACGTAAATATAAATTCTTTATAAATTCATATAAATTAAATAAATATAAATCTCACAGGTTGGTTCCCACAGTGGGTCTCTGTGGTGGAGGTGGTGGTGGTGGTGGTGGGTCTCTGTGGTGTTGGTGGTGGCAGTGGGGCGCGGCTTGGTGACCCCCTGTGGTGGTTGTGGTGGTGGTGGTGGAACGAGGCTTGGTGGGTGTCTGTGGTGGTGGTGGTGGTGGGGCGAGGCTTGTTGACTCCCTGTGGTGGTGGTGGTGGTGGTGGTGGGGTGAGGCTTGGTGACTCCCTGTTATGATGGTGGTGGTGGTGGTGGCAACGGGGCGAGGCTTTATGACTCCTTGTGGTGGTGGCGAGTAGTGGAAAATGGGGCATAGACCGGCAATTTTGTTTTTTCCCCTTGCCGGTCTGAACACCTCAGGTTTTACAAATTTTTTCCCTATGCTGGTCTACGCCTCGTGTCTTTTCGTTGCCCCAGCGCGTGATAGCCTCAAAGAAGATTTAAATGCTGGTCTACGCCCCAGTCCGTTTTCGTTGCCTCAGCGTGTGATTGCTCGTCTCCAGGTCTTAGCATTTCATTCAAGGGGATTAAAAAGCCGGTCTATGAGTCATGTGTTTTTGCGTTATCCTGAAATTAATTAAGAGAAATTAATACAATTAATATTAGTACCTGTAACCTCTCATCAACTCTGTTGTATTGGTATAATGTTATAGTAGCACTACTGCGTGTACTAAATTTAAGAATTGATGAGATGATACTGGTGAAATAGAAGTCTGGTTTTACTGCTAATAATTTGTTAAATTATTGTACTGATTCTTATTAATCCTGTTAAGGATCCAGGTACGAAGGACCATACAATTATGTGGGGAATTTCGCAACACGTATTCTACTGTTATTAAATAAAAACAGTAGAATACTGTTATTATTATTAATTATTATTATTATTATTATTAATTAATAATTAATTAGTTATTAATAATCTGAGTATTGCTATTGAACAATTAAATAAATTTAAAGAGTGGACTGTATTAATTTTGGTTACTTGTCGGGTGTTTCTAATGCCACAATTTTTTTTTTTTGGGGGGGGGGGGGTGAGGGCGGTGGGGAGAGGCGTGGTGGCGGGGGCGGCGAGGAGAGGCTTGGTGACTCTGTGATGGTGGCGGGGGCGGCGAGGAGAGGCTTGGTGACTCTGTGATGGTGGCGGGGGGCGGCGAGGAGAGGCTTGGTGACTGTGATGGTGGCAGGGGGCGGCGAGGAGAGGCTTGGTGACTGTGATGGTGGCGGGGGCGGCGAGGAGAGGCTTGGTGACTGTGATGGTGGCGGGGGCGGCGAGGAGAGGCTTGGTGACTGTGATGGTGGCAGGGGGCGGCGAGGAGAGGCTTGGTGACTCTGTGATGGTGGCGGGGGCGGCGAGGAGAGGCTTGGTGACTGTGATGGTGGCGGGGGGCGGCGAGGAGAGGCTTGGTGACTCTGTGATGGTGGCGGGGGCGGCGAGGAGAGGCTTGGTGACTGTGATGGTGGCGGGGGGCGGCGAGGAGAGGCTTGGTGACTCTGTGATGGTGGCGGGGGCGGCGAGGAGAGGCTTGGTGACTCTGTGATGGTGGCGGGGGCGGCGAGGAGAGGCTTGGTGACTCTGTGATGGTGGTGGGGGCGGCGAGGCGAGGCTTGGTGACTCTGTGATGGTGGCGGGGGCGGCGAGGCGAGGCTTGGTGACTCTGTGATGGTGGCGGGGGCGGCGAGGAGAGGCTTGGTGACTCTGTGATGGTGGCGGGGGCGGCGAGGAGAGGCTTGGTGACTCTGTGATGGTGGCGGGGGGCGGCGAGGAGAGGCTTGGTGACTCTGTGATGGTGGCGGGGGCGGCGAGGAGAGGCTTGGTGACTCTGTGATGGTGGCGGGGGCGGCGAGGAGAGGCTTGGTGACTCTGTGATGGTGGCGGGGGGCGGCGAGGAGAGGCTTGGTGACTCTGTGATGGTGGCGGGGGGCGGCGAGGAGAGGCTTGGTGACTCTGTGATGGTGGCGGGGGGCGGCGAGGAGAGGCTTGGTGACTCTGTGATGGTGGCGGGGGCGGCGAGGAGAGGCTTGGTGACTCTGTGATGGTGGCGGGGGCGGCGAGGAGAGGCTTGGTGACTCTGTGATGGTGGCGGGGGCGGCGAGGAGAGGCTTGGTGACTCTGTGATGGTGGCGGGGGCGGCGAGGAGAGGCTTGGTGACTGTGATGGTGGCGGGGGGCGGCGAGGAGAGGCTTGGTGACTAGAGGCTTGGTGACTCTGTGATGGTGGCGGGGCGGCGAGGAGAGGCTTGGTGACTGTGATGGTGGCGGGGGGCGGCGAGGAGAGGCTTGGTGACTCTGTGATGGTGGCGGGGGCGGCGAGGAGAGGCTTGGTGACTCTGTGATGGTGGCGGGGGCGGCGAGGAGAGGCTTGGTGACTCTGTGATGGTGGTGGGGGCGGCGAGGCGAGGCTTGGTGACTCTGTGATGGTGGTGGGGGCGGCGAGGCGAGGCGTGGTGACTGTGATGGTGGCGGGGGCGGCGAGGAGAGGCTTGGTGACTCTGTGATGGTGGTGGGGGCGGCGAGGCGAGGCGTGGTGACTCTGTGATGGTGGCGGGGGCGGCGAGGAGAGGCTTGGTGACTCTGTGATGGTGGCGGGGGCGGCGGGGAGAGGCTTGGTGACTCTGTGATGGTGGCGGGGGCGGCGAGGAGAGGCTTGATGACTCTGTGATGGTGGCGGGGGCGGCGAGGAGAGGCTTGGTGACTCTGTGATGGTGGCGGGGGGCGGCGAGGAGAGGCTTGGTGACTCTGTGATGGTGGTGGGGGCGGCGGGGAGAGGCTTGGTGACTCTGTGATGGTGGCGGGGGCGGCGAGGAGAGGCTTGGTGACTCTGTGATGGTGGCGGGGGCGGCGAGGAGAGGCTTGGTGACTCTGTGATGGTGGCGGGGGCGGCGAGGAGAGGCTTGGTGACTCTGTGATGGTGGTGGGGGCGGCGAGGAGAGGCTTGTTAGTGATCTTGTTAGAGAGGTCTTCCAGCCCTCTAATTATTAGGTAGTTTGAGAAGGGTGGCAGTGATGGTGATTGTTGTGGTGGTGGTTGTTGTTGTTAGTGTGATGGTCATACTGAGTGTGGTGGTCATACTGAGTGTGGTGGTCATACTGAGTGTGGTGGTCATACTGAGTGTGGTGGTCATACTGAGTGTGGTGGTCATACTGAGTGTGGTGGTCATACTGAGTGTGGTGGTCATACTGAGTGTGGTGGTCATACTGAGTGTGGTGGTCATACTGAGTGTGGTGGTCATACTGAGTGTGGTGGTCATACTGAGTGTGGTGGTCATACTGAGTGTGGTGGTCATACTGAGTGTGGTGGTCATACTGAGTGTGGTGGTCATACTGAGTGTGGTGGTCATACTGAGTGTGGTGGTCATACTGAGTGTGGTGGTCATACTGAGTGTGGTGGTCATACTGAGTGTGGTGGTCATACTGAGTGTGGTGGTCATACTGAGTGTGGTGGTCATACTGAGTGTGGTGGTCATACTGAGTGTGGTGGTCATACTGAGTGTGGTGATCATACTGAGTGTGATGGTCATACTGAGTGTGGTGGTCATACTGAGTGTGGTGGTCATACTGAGTGTGGTGGTCATCCTGAGGGTGATGCAGATATAATCAACATTGCAGATATCATCAACATCACAATCACCGTCCATGTATATCACACTCACCATCAACATCACAATCACCGTCCATGTATATCACACTCACCATCAACATCACAATCACCGTCCATGTATATCACACTCGCCATCAACATCACAATCACCGTCCATGTATATCTCACTCACCATCAACATCACAATCACCGTCCATGTATATCACACTCACCATCAACAAAAATGACCCCAAGATAAACACACTAAACATCCTCAAACGAAAACGAAACAAAAAACTCCAGAATAAATGGAGAATAGATCGCAATCCCCGATAGCCGAAAAATCACTCTCTCTACGTAGCGGGAGATAAGAGACAATTGGAGAGTAAATTTTAATTTTGTCTCCATTATATCTTCATTAAAAACAAATAGTTTCCATCAAGGGGTGACTCAGGAGTGAATATTTCCCAATCTTCCCCGACCTTAAGGATGGTTTCTGGCGGAGAGTGCGTGCTCTTCTCACCCTTATGAACAAGGCGCTATAGATTCGTAAGGAAATAGAGTTGTAGAAACGAGTGAATATTTAGGGCAGGATTGCGGGATCGAATCATCGTGTATGTAGGAATGAGTTTTTGTTGGCATAAATTGGAGCTGTCTCGTGTGGGTCAATAGGAGCTGTCTCGTGTGGGTCAATAGGAGCTGTCTCGTGTGGGTCAATAGGAGCTGGCTCATATAGGTCAATAGGAGCTGTCTCTTATGAGCCAATAGGAGCTGCCTCATATGGGACAATAGGTGCTGCCTCGTATGGGACAATTGGTGCTGCCTCGTATGGGACAATTGGTGCTGCCTTGTATGGGACAATAGGTGCTGCCTCGTATGGGACAATAGGTGCTGCCTCGTATGGGACAATAGGTGCTGCCTCGTATGGGACAATTGGTGCTGTCTTGTATGGGACAATAGGTGCTGCCTCGTATGGGACAATAGGTGCTGCCTCGTATGGGACAATTGGTGCTGCCTCGTATGGGACAATAGGTGCTGCCTCGTATGGGACAATTGGTGCTGCCTTGTATGGGACAATAGGTGCTGCCTCGTATGGGACAATAGGTGCTGCCTCGTATGGGTCAATTGGTGCTGCCTTGTATGGGACAATAGGTGCTGCCTCGTATGGGACAATAGGTGCTCCCTCATATGGGACAATAGGTGCTGCCTCGTATGGGCCAATATGACCTGCCTCGTATGGACCAATAGGAGCTGCCTCGTGTGGATCAATAGGAGCTGCCTCGTATGGACCAATAGGAGCTGCCTCGTGTGGATCAATAGGAGCTGCCTCGAATGAACCAATAGGAGCTGCTTCGTATGGACTAATAGGAGCTGCTGCGTGTGGACCAATAGGAACTGCCTCATGTGGACCAATAGGAGCTGCCTCGTGTGGACCAATAGGAGCTGCCTCGTATGGACCAATAGGAGCTGCCTCGTGTGGACCAATAGGAGCTGCCTCGTGCGGACCAATAGGAGCTGCCTTGTGTGAACCAATGGGAGCTGCCTCGTGTGGACCAATAGGAACTGCCTCGTATGGAACAATAAGAGCTGCCTCGTATGGAGCAATAGGAGCTGCCTCGTATGGAACAACAGGAGCTCCCTCGTGTGGACCAATAGGAGCTGCCTCGTGTGGACCAATAGGAGCTGCCTTGTGTGGACCAATAGGAGCTGCCTCGCATGGACCAATAGGAGCTGCCTCGTATGGCCCAATAGGAGCTGCCTCGTGTGGACCAATAGGAACTGCCTCGTATGGCCCAATAGGTGCTGTGTAACTGAATTTTTAGGAGAAATTGGTTGTGTTGAAACCTGAGGTTATTCTGAGAAAGACTGGGTGATTACCTAGGAGGCTGGGTGATTACCTAGGAGGCTGGGTGATTACCTAGGAGGCTGGGTGATTACCTAGGAGGCTGGGTGATTACCTAGGAGGCTGGGTGATTACCTAGGAGGCTGGGTGATTACCTAGGAGGCTGGGTGATTACCTAGGAGGCTGGGTGATTACCTAGGAGGCTGGGTGATTACCTAGGAGGCTGGGTGATTACCTAGGAGGCTGGGTGATTACCTAGGAGGCTGGGTGATTACCTAGGAGGCTGGGTGATTACCTAGGAGGCTGGGTGATTACCTAGGAGGCTGGGTGATTACCTAGGAGGCTGGGTGATTACCTAGGAGGCTGGGTGATTACCTAGGAGGCTGGGTGATTACCTAGGAGGCTGGGTGATTACCTAGGAGGCTGGGTGATTACCTAGGAGGCTGGGTGATTACCTAGGAGGCTGGGTGATTACCTAGGAGGCTGGGTGATTACCTAGGAGGCTGGGTGATTACCTAGGAGGCTGGGTGATTACCTAGGAGACAGGAAAGTTCAAAGGCTAGGTGTTGCATGAACAGTAGTAGGCATCCTTCAGTCTCGGGAGACTATGGAGTTGCGCCCTAGTTGTCAATCCTGGTGCAGCGTCTGGTGTGACTGATGAGGCCAATCCGAGAGTGGCAGTCCATCCCACACCGAGCACAAACGAAGTCCGATTCTGGTCTGTCTTCCTGGATACCGGCTTTCCTTCTCTGTCTCTTTGCCTCCGATTCCTTGGCAAGTGACTGCTCGAACTTGGAGAGACCTCGTTGAACAGACTGCCTCCAGGCTGAACGGTCTGCAGCCAGTGTCTCCCATATAGCGAGATGAACAATAACATGAACAATGCATGAACAATACAATAACAAATACTAATAAACGTGAGACATACGCTGGTGAGAACACCAGACGCTGAGAACGGAGCTGACCTCTCGAGGGAGGAAGGTCGAGGCCTCTTGTGTACGCAGCTGGACGCCAAACATTTCGTGGATGGTAGTGTGGGGGTGTAAGTTGCCCTGAGTGTGGGGGTGTAAGTTGCCCTGAGTGTGGGGGTGTAAGTTGCCCTGAGTGTGGGGGTGTAAGTTGCCCTGAGTGTGGGGGTGTAAGTTGCCCTGAGTGTGGGGGTGTAAGTTGCCCTGAGTGTGGGGGTGTAAGTTGCCCTGAGTGTGGGGGTGTAAGTTGCCCTGAGTGTGGGGGTGTAAGTTGCCCTGAGTGTGGGGGTGTAAGTTGCCCTGAGTGTGGGGGTGTAAGTTGCCCTGAGTGTGGGGGTGTAAGTTGCCCTGAGTGTGGGGGTGTAAGTTGCCCTGAGTGTGGGGGTGTAAGTTGCCCTGAGTGTGGGGGTGTAAGTTGCCCTGAGTGTGGGGGTGTAAGTTGCCCTGAGTGTGATGGGTGTAAGTTGCCCTGAGTGTGGGGGTGTAAGTTGCCCTGAGTGTGGGGGGTGTAAGTTGCCCTGAGTGTGGGGGTGTAAGTTGCCCTGAGTGTGGGGGTGTAAGTTGCCCTGAGTGTGGGGGTGTAAGTTGCCCTGAGTGTGGGGGTGTAAGTTGCCCTGAGTGTGGGGGTGTAAGTTGCCCTGAGTGTGGGGGTGTAAGTTGCCCTGAGTGTGGGGGTGTAAGTAGCCCTGAGTGTGGGGGTGTAAGTTGCCCTGAGTGTGGGGGTGTAAGTTGCCCTGAGTGTGGGGGTGTAAGTTGCCCTGAGTGTGGGGGTGTAAGTTGCCCTGAGTGTGGGGTGTAAGTTGCCCTGAGTGTGGGGGTGTAAGTTGCCCTGAGTGTGGGGGTGTAAGTTGCCCTGAGTGTGGGGGTGTAAGTTGCCCTGAGTGTGGGGTGTAAGTTGCCCTGAGTGTGGGGGTGTAAGTTGCCCTGAGTGTGGGGGTGTAAGTTGCCCTGAGTGTGGGGGTGTAAGTTGCCCTGAGTGTGGGGGTGTAAGTTGCCCTGAGTGTGGGGGTGTAAGTTGCCCTGAGTGTGGGGGTGTAAGTTGCCCTGAGTGTGGGGGTGTAAGTTGCCCTGAGTGTGGGGGTGTAAGTTGCCCTGAGTGTGGGGGTGTAAGTTGCCCTGAGTGTGGGGGTGTAAGTTGCCCTGAGTGTGGGGGTGTAAGTTGCCCTGAGTGTGGGGGTGTAAGTTGCCCTGAGTGTGGGGGTGTAAGTTGCCCTGAGTGTGGGGGTGTAAGTTGCCCTGAGTGTGGGGGTGTAAGTTGCCCTGAGTGTGGGGGTGTAAGTTGCCCTGAGTGTGGGGGTGTAAGTTGCCCTGAGTGTGGGGGTGTAAGTTGCCCTGAGTGTGGGGGTGTAAGTTGCCCTGAGTGTGGGGGTGTAAGTTGCCCTGAGTGTGGGGGTGTAAGTTGCCCTGAGTGTGGGGGTGTAAGTTGCCCTGAGTGTGGGGGTGTAAGTTGCCCTGAGTGTGGGGGTGTAAGTTGCCCTGAGTGTGGGGGTGTAAGTTGCCCTGAGTGTGGGGGTGTAAGTTGCCCTGAGTGTGGGGGTGTAAGTTGCCCTGAGTGTGGGGGTGTAAGTTGTCCTGAGTGTGGGGGTGTAAGTTGTCCTGAGTGTGGGGGTGTAAGTTGCCCTGAGTGTGGGGGTGTAAGTTGCCCTGAGTGTGGGGGTGTAAGTTGCCCTGAGTGTGGGGGTGTAAGTTGCCCTGAGTGTGGGGGTGTAAGTTGCCCTGAGTGTGGGGGTGTAAGTTGCCCTGAGTGTGGGGGTGTAAGTTGCCCTGAGTGTGGGGGTGTAAGTTGCCCTGAGTGTGGGGGTGTAAGTTGTCCTGAACATACAACTAAACATGAAGAAAGCCTCATAACCAAACAATAACAAACCATTACATACATAAATCACAATAGCGTGATGCATCAAATGAACAAATCTACAAGGGCCGTGAGGAGGATTCGAACTCTCGTGGATTTGTTCATTTAATTACAAACCTTTTTTTTTGCAATAAAGAATATACTTCATAGTAATATACCACATGAAATAACCTCTTGATTGGAGTACTATACAAATTCCGTCCTCCCCCCCCCTGTTTAAAATACGTTCAGGTGTCCTTGTCAGTAACCTGCAAAAGGTAATTACCTAAGTGTAGTTACAGGATGAGAGTTACGCTCGTGGTGTCTCGTCTTCCCAGTACTCTTTGTCATATAACGCTTTGAAACTACTGACGGTTTTGGCCTCCACCACCGTCTCACTTAACTTGTTCCAACCGTCTACCACTCTGTTTGCCTTGTGTGTTATGTAAATAGCATTTAGATGTGAAGGGAATTACATGTTTAACAGTAAGCTACGGTGATTGTAACCGTAGACCAATCTATACGCGCCCATTCCTATGTTTACCTAATCTATTTACCCCTATTTATTGAATAGGACTTGATTTCAATTAGAGAATCGACAAGTTATATATTCAATCGTATCTGTGATAGTAGGACCTGGGATTAGCCAATCAGGGCAGTACCCAGGGGCCAGATTCACGAAGCAGTTACGCAAGTACTTACGAACGTATACATCTTTCCTCAATCTTTGACGGCTTTGGTTACAGTTATTAAACAGCTTACAAGCATGAAAACTTCCCAATCAACTGTTGTTATTGTTATAAACAGCCTCCTGGTGCTTCGGAGCACATTAACTGCTTAATAATTGTAAACAAAGCCACCAAAGATTGAGAAAAGATGTACAGGTTCGTAAGTGCTTGCGTAACTACTTCGTGAATCAGGCCCCAGAGCTGTTGTTAATCACCCACAGCGGGGCACCGAATCTCCCCCTCCCACCCCCCCCTAACTGGCCCTTGGTTCACCCGCTCGTTACAGGTATTCGTGAGGGGGAGAGGGGGGGGGGGGAAGAGAATCTCAGGTTAATGACCCCCCCCGTGAGGCTCGGGAGGGGGGGGAGGGTGCAGTCGGATCCATGAATGGCCTCGTAACACCTGCATCAACACCTGTGCCGTTTAGCCACCACCTCCTTAACACCAAACACCCGACACGCACACACGTGTCCCACAGGTGTTGAAGTGCATATGTTTTTTTTTCTTATTCAATTCACAGTAATCAGTTATAACCCGACGGTAAATGTTTGTAGTAAATTAACCTTAAGTTGTGTTTATGGCAAGACGGCGGCAAGAAACACACAAGACAGGTGCAAGAAACACACAAGACAGGTGCAAGGACACACACAAGACAGGTGCAAGAAACACACAAGACAGGTGCAAGGACACACAACACCAAGACAGGTGCAAGGACACACAACACCAAGACAGGTGCAAGGACACACAACACCAAGACAGGTGCAAGGACACACAACACCAAGACAGGTGCAAGGACACACAACACCAAGACAGGTGCAAGGACACACAACACCAAGACAGGTGCAAGGACACACAACACACAAGACAGGTGCAAGGACACACAACACACAAGACAGGTGCAAGGACACACAACACACAAGACAGGTGCAAGGACACACAACACCGACAAGACAGGTGCAAGGACACAACACAAGAACAATATACAACTCTAGAAGTTCCATTGATTCATGCAACGCAGCTCCTGTTTACACCCAGTTCCTGTTTACACCCAGCTCCTGTTTACAACTTGCTGCTACTTACACCCAGCTTCTGTTTACAATCTGCTGCCACTTACACCCAGCTTCTGTTTACAACCTGCTGCTACTTACACCCAGCTTCTGTTTACAATTTGCTGCTACTTACACCCAGCTTCTGTTTACAACCTGCTGCTACTTACACCCAGCTCCTGTTTACAACCTGCTGCTACTTACACCCAGCTCCTGTTTACAACCTGCTGCCACTTACACCCAGCTTCTGTTTACAACCTGCTGCTACTTACACCCAGGTCCTGTTTACAACCTGCTGCCACTTACACCCAGCTCCTGTTTACAACCTGCTGCCACTTACACCCAGCTCCTGTTTACAACCTGCTGCTACTTACCATGTACACAAAGAGGCCAGAAATGAGTACACAGAGACCAGGAGAGTGACAGAGAAACAGTACGAGAATGACACTGTACACAAGTCTAAGTCGCAGGCTAAACTGTTCCATAGTCATATCTGGAGGAAGATGACTGCGAATGAGTAGGTTATCACACTTGACAAAAGTGAGGGACAACACACTGAAAATGATAACGAGATATGTGAGGAACTTAACAAAAGTTTTTTGTAAGTATTAAGCTGGAGCCTGATTTGCCACTAGAGTTTAGGGCCCAACCTGAACGGGAAATTTCACAGGAAAGCCTCACTGAAATAACAATGACACCAGAAGAAGTAAAGAAGCAACTGCAGGAACTTGATGTGACAAGAGCTGTGGGACCAGACAGAATATCGCCATGGATACTAAAAGAAGCAGCTGAAGCATTGTGCAGTCCACTTGCCATAATATTTAATTCCTCCCTGGTGACGGGAGAACTTCCTGACTGCTGGAAAATGGCTAACGTGGTGTCAATCTACAAAAAAGATGGAAGACAGAAAACATTAAACAACAGACCCGCATCACTAACAAGTATCCCCTGCAAGTTCCTAAGGAGGCTGATCCCAAGCAGACCAGTAGAACATTTAGAACAGATAAACTTCGTCTCGAAGCGCCAGCATGGTTTTAGTAAAAGAAAATCCTGCTTGACAAACTTCCTGGAGTTCTATAATAAAATGACAGAAATCAAACATGAGAGAGGGATGGGCAGATTGCATATTCCTTGACTGTCAGAAAGCATTTGATATGGTCCCACGTGAAAGACTCCTTCTCAAGCTAGAGAAGCAGGCTGGTGTACTGTAAAGAGTCTCAATAAGTGGAACAGGTTAGACGTAGAAGTCATTGAAGCTAATTTGGTTCAAAATTGTAATTATAAATAAGATAAAAAGCGTGAGAACTGAGTCAATACATTAATTTAAGAACAATGGGAAAGCGGGGCTAGGATCGTAGCGCTACCCTGTAGGTGAGTACATCTAGGTGAGCACACACACACACACTTGCAGGAAATCAGAAGTTGACAATCAGAGTTAACGACCGC